AAGTTTCACGGATGTGTTTTTGATACTACTAATTCTAACACTGGTAAATTAAACTAGCTAAAGAGGTTGACAAGCCTTTACTTCTATTACCATGCAGACATCATGTGTATGAAAGACACATTGTTCATTGTTGGAACATCTATTCCAGCAGTAACACAAATGGACCAGACAATCCTCTTTTTAAAAAGCTTAAGCTTATTTGGAACTCTTTGGATCATGATTCTACTGTACTAAACAGAATCAAGATTGAGGATTTTACTGACAACTGGTTGCAGGATCAATTCAAGAAAGCTTTGGAGTTCTCTGAAAACGTTATAAAGATGGAAAAGATGAAGAAGATCAGTACTTTAAGTTATCAAATTAATTTTAATGTTGTTTAAAGTAGTTTAAACAGCTTTCAAATAAATAAAATTCCATTATCCCGTAAATTGCAGATTAGAATAATAATAACTTATTTAATGTGCATAGCTCGTGGCACTTTGCACAATAAACAAATGAATAATATCAGATTTCAAACTGAAAATGTAAAGAATGAATCTTAATTTTTTATGGCTTTTTTAAATATTGCAAAAAGTAAAAACGCAATGTAAACAATCAATTTTGATTAATTGCTTATTATAAAAATAAGTATTTATGTTTAGAATGGATGGAGTTGTGATTATCTTGAGTTCTCAAACTCAAAGTAATGGTACTATCTGGAGATGTGCATTACAGACTCCGATAACCAGGACCTGTAAGTCATGCTTGGTTTTTGATGAAAGAAAGCTCCCTCTCAGGTTTTTTTTTACTTTAATTTTTATATTCTTATTATTTAAAACGTAGTAAAGTTTAAATAAAAGTTATTTTTTTTAGTATTTTGCTATCTAAAGGTTATTTCTTAGGATATGAAAGCACTGTAGCAGATGATAAGGTTCTCTGATGTTAAATCTGATCTGGCAAAACTTTTATTGACTCAATGAAGAGACACACCTAGTACATTGATCTTACCACTTTTGCAATGACTTTAGCTGATGAAGAGGTGACCATGACCGTGACAAGATTGCCAAGAAGCTGTATTCCATGTCAAGGCCTGAGAATTATGTTGTACACAGACAGCAAGTAGACTTTAAATTGTTGAAGAATATAGATTTTTGTCAGGATAATCCTCCTAGGTTGGTTTCACTGATAAATGAACAGAGTTGGTTAATATTTCATCTCTTGGCCTATGGGAAGGCAGAGTTACAGTGGTTAAAAACCTTAGTTGAGACATGGAACCTGAATGATTATTATCTGGAGTTTAAACAATTCGTCAAAAATCTGGAAGTAGTAAATGATTGCAATAAGAGAGCTGTGCAACTCGTCAGGTACAATTTTAAAAAATTATCAAGTTTAAACCTATTGAACCTATTGTAGAAAATATTAAGGTAATTTCAACAAACATATTTTATTTTTAACTAGGAGCTGATCAACAAATCCCACAAGGAAAAGAAGAGATAGGACACTTTCCTTGTAGCTAACAAGTTCAAAAGGGGAAGAAAGAGAAAGAAGAAAAATTTAAATGAAGAAAAACAACATTATAATAGTACTTAAAGTTCCGTGCCTTTCGGCAATCATCAGCTATTAATTACAAATTAAAAACGTAAATTAACGTTTAAAAAACGAATCAAAATTTTTCGGTAGAACGAGTTCTGACGTAGTTTGAAAAGGCGCAATCATTTAATCTCCAGTATCAAACGAAGATAACAGGAATTTAAATGTCGACATTTAGATAATATTTCGTCTTTTTTATTAAGCAGGTTATTTCCATTAAAAGATAAAAATTCTAACTTCTCATGAAGCCAAAGAAAAGTATCTTCCAAAAGATGATTTTTTTAAAGAATTTTTTTCTTTGCAACATAAATGAACATGGGGTTTATAACCATATACCTAGTTTAAATGATAGCAAATACCCTGTTGTAAAATAGGTTTAGATTCAACTATTGATTTGAATAGCCAATCATTTCTAGATCATTTAATTAAACCACTAGATAATTATTAATCAGATGGTTCTAAATAATCAATGTAACATAAGTATTTCATACAAATACTTATGTTTAGGATATATAATCTAAGAAAACAATTGCTAAAATGCAGGTATTGGAGATAAATTGAGCAGTATTTTAATTACATTATCACCAACAACTTTGCTGGCTCAAATAATAATACTCTAACTCCAAAGGTTTTTAATTTAATCATTACCAATGAAAGCTTTGATACTAAAAAGTCCTTTAGAATAAAGTAAAAAGAGCTTGCAATAGCTTATGATACAAATAATGAGCTTATACAACAATAACAATAATATATTTCGTGTTACAGATATTACAAAAACACAGGTCATTGCAAATAGTGATTCACTAAAAAAGCGCAATGACCTAAATAAGATAAAAATAATAATAAAAATAATAATAATATGTAATAAGTAAAACCACATAAAAAAAGTAGGTTATAAAAGGAAGTTAAGTTAAATAAGTTAACACAATATTAACTAAGAAAAATATAATTGCATAAAAATTTATTTGATTATACCAAAAAAATCAGACTTTTTGAATATATTTAACATAATTAATATAATGTACATTTATATATGCACATATACTTAAACAAGAATTATAATAAAATAAGTAAATTATAATAAAAATAATTATCTAAAATAAAATATTAAAAATAAAATTATAATAAAATAATGAACTATAATAAAAATAAAAAAATAAGTCAAAAGGTAGAAAATAAAAAATTAAAAAGTAAAGTTAAGCGTAACCTTTTAGGGAGAAATGATGGAGTGACTTTAAGAAAAGATTCTTGAACCTAAGGATGAGACCTGATTTTAGGGTGTTCGGAAGGGAGTTCAAAGAAAGGATACACTGGTATGTAATGGAATTAATTCCATGTTTACTCGTCTGTTTTTAGTGGGAGAGTTAAGTTGTTATAAGTGACTGATCTTAGGTTATGCCCACATGTTGTTCTATTATTAAAGTAGTTGTGGAATATAGTAGGAAGGACACCATGTTGTTGATCCCAGACAAATGAACAATTTAAGAACTGAATTAAGTCATAGAAAAGAAGAATTTTGGATGTCAGATAAAGGATGTCAGTAGGAAAATTTCTCGGACAAAAATGAATAATCCGTACCGCTCTATTTTAAAAGTGAAACAACTCTAGAAAGACATACGGTTTTAGATTGTCCCCAAACTTGACATGCGTATCGTAAATATGAACCAAAAATTGAGTGATATATAGAGAGCAATCTTTCAAAGTTAACGTAATGTCGAACTTTTGCTAACATGCCGTTGGAACGGCTTAACTTCAGAGTAAGGATATGTGTGTTTTGAATGAAAGTTTTTCATCTAACACAACACGAAGATAAGTTATGTTATTAGGCAAGTACATTTTTTGACCTCTTAATCGAAAGTTTAGTATTTTGGAATATTATTGTTAGTTTTTTTAGAAAAGTTAGTATTTCGAGTCTTAAATATAATTATTTCTGATTTTTTAGTATTCAATGATATTTTATTTGCTCTATGCCATTGAACAAGACTGGCCATATCCTGATTAATATATTTATTAAGCTTTTTGAGAGAGTTTGTTATTAATTGTAGATTAGTATCATTAGCAAAATGTTTTTGAATGTTTGATAGAAAGATTGAGATCATTAATATAGATAATAAAGAGAAGAGGGCCTAACATGGATCCCTGAGGTATACCAATTGAAACGTTTTTAATATCTGAGCTGGTTCCATTTATAGTTACAAACTTTTGACGATCAGAAGGATATGATTTGAACCACTGCAAGGCATATCCTTGCAGTGGTTGCACGTACACTATAATAGTTAAACTTTGAGAGGAGAATTTCATGGTTTACGGTGTCAAAAGCTTTTTGCAAATTCACAAAAACCCCATAAGCAAAGTTGCCATTATCAAGAGCAACTCTTATACTTTCTGTAATTTCAATAAGAGCGTGAGCTGTCGAATACTTTTTACGAAAACCAAACTGGTGTTTATATAAGCATTGATTTTGGTTTAGAACGTTGTATAGTTTATTATGCATAACTTTTTCAAATATTTTGCTTACATTAGAAAGAAGAGATATTGGACGATAATTAGCGCAGTCAATTGTAGATTCTTTTTTGTGAATCGGAATAATTTGAGCTAGTTTGAAGGCATCGGGAAATGTTCCTTTGCGAAATGAATTGTTTAAAATGATAGTAATTGGTTTTGTCGGAAGACTGTTTGGTCCAACAATCCTCCCTTCTATAATAGTGGAACTTATATTAGTTTTTTATATTACTTATAATAGACTGAAAATCTATTTTTACTGTAACGTTGACAATAATGGCAAAAAAATTACGGTTGTACGTTAAAACTTTTTTTTAAAGATTTCAAAACTTCATAACTTCTTTTTCGGCGTATTTGTCGTTGCACGGTTCTGTCGCGATGGTTTTGAATATAAATGTATTTTATAGAAATAAATTATCTACCGTTTATGTGTTTATACTGTTATTAAACGTGGCTAATTTCTTTATTAGTAAAAAGGGACATGCCATTGCTGCTATACAATATTTTAACCAGATATATTTAAATAAAAAAAGATAATCAAGATTTATTCATAAATCACGATGTTAAAAAAAAATACAAAAATTAAATTTTAAAAATAGTCTCGTCCTGTGAAGCAAGAATATATATATATAATTAGACTAAACGCAGTCAAGTCATAATGACTTGACTGTTTAACATAAGTTTAATACAAATTTTTGTTTTAGATAAAAGTATTATAGCAAATTAAAATTATATTTTATTAAAAAATATAATTCTTTTTTTGCTTTTTAGACATAAAAGTAGTTTACATAATAGATAGCATAAAAATGATATGTCATTTTAACCATAAGGCAAAATGTCATGTTCTATAATTAGCATTTTATTTTGTCAAATATAACAACTAAAAGAACGCATATGTGTTTATTTTAGTATCTGATGTATATATATCTATAAATAACATTTATGATTTTGTAATTTAATTAGTTCATATTTTAAAATGTGTGATGAAGAACAGTCCTTGGGTGATTTTTTTGCAAAGAAAGATAAAGGCAAAAAAGCAAAAAAAACAAAAAAAGTTAAATCAATTAGTGAAATAGTTGTGGAATCAAATCCTGCTGATACTGAATCCAAACAGGTAAATTTAAGTAATATTTAAGTAAAATGCAAAAAAAAAAAAAAAAAAATTGTTATATTTTATTTTATATAATTAGTTATATAATTTTTATATGCAAGTATAATAGTATTCAAATATATAATATATATAAGTTATATAATTCTCATATTTAAATTTTTTTTATATTTTTATTGCTATTTTACAAAGGTAAAGAAGCAAATGTCTATGTATAATGAGTTTATAATTTTGAGAAACCATTTTTGATTAAGAAGCATGTGTAATGTTATGTTAAAGTAGATACATAAATATTATAAGCAGGTTTAAGTTTTGATATTGAGTCACAAAATTTTGAATTGATATCCACACTTGGACTACAAATTAGAAGTGGAGCCATAAATAAGTTGTGCAGAGCACTTTCCAAAGCTTTATATCTTTGCTTTTGAACAATGTTTAAGCTTTCCAAGCATCACATTCATTTTTAATACTGCTAATATGTTTCAGTAAAAGATTTTTTTTTACACTTTTATTATGAAAAACTATATCGAATAATATAAAATAAATAATTATAAATATTTTTCAGTTTTTAAAATAAAATCATTTTTAAAAAAGTTGCAATTTTGCATAAGTGTCTTTTTAGATTGGACTAAAATTGCTTAAATAATAGACTAATGTTAAAAAGACATACAGCATAGGTCATACAATAGATAACATAGATTACACAAATATCTGTACTTAGATATAGGGTCAGTTTATTATATTTCACACAACTTGGTGGGACACCATATCTGATTTTCCTTGTTTTTTATATATTATTATATGGCCCTTAATGTCATTGTCTAAACCTAACTGGAATTCAGACAATCTTGACTTAACAAGTTGAATAGCTTTTTTAGTGTTCGTGCTTCATGTTGACACAGATCATTCCTAGTAAATGAAAACCATCTAAACCATGTAAGTTCAGATTCATAAAAGTTTATAATTTTTATATATTATAAATTTATGCATACATTTATTATTTATTAAAAACTGGCATATATTTATATATATGCCAGTATTTAATGGCATATATATATATATATATATATATATATATATATATATATATATATATATATATATATATATATATATTATATATATATATATATTTAAACTAATTCACTTCTGACAAAGTTGCGAGCAAAGGCTGTTAAGTTATAAGTTAATAGAAAATAGAAGATAGGTTTAAAGAGAAAGGAAACAATTAACTAAAGACTTTCTAAAAAATTTGTAGGTTGTATGAGTCAGGAAAACATGAAAATGAGTGAGAGTTTTGAGATTTTGTTGATGTGCAAGGAAATAAACTAGATAAATAAAAAATTTGGATGTAAAAGGATGCAGATTTGCTGAATGATGAGCCAAACAAGAATGAGGTTGAACTAGAGAATTTTGGTTTGGTTGAATTTTGGTTGGTTGAATTAATCTCTAGTTCAACCAACCAAAAAAATTATAATTCGCTTGAGCAGCAACCGCAATGATATTATTTCTAGAAAAAAGAAAGAGATGCAACCTTACAACAATGAGAGAGAGGCTCAAGCTTGGCATAAAAGATTCCATTCCAACTACATTTACAATGTACTTTAGACCTTGTCTGAGAGCGAGACTCTGACTGAGAACAACTGCAAGCCCCAATCTCTCTTATTTATAAGAGAGATCAGATTAAAGAGCAGCTGCTTGTTTTAAGCATTTAAAAAGTGAACACTTTTCGTCAAGATGTAAGTATAAAGTTAAGTTTTCTGCAAATAGAGCCACTTTAGATGTAAGATACAAGATTGTTATTGTAGAGAAAAAAAAGATACAGGAGAACTCTTCATTTTCAGTAATTCCAGTAAGTTACTGTAAATGAAAATTGTAGGGAAAAAAAAAAATTTATTTCAAAAATGCTTTTAATACTGTGGTTAGAAAGAATGATTTAATAGTATAAACATTTTTATATTAAGAAATTTCTACTATTAGAGAAGACTAATCTTTGGATAGTTGGAGAGTGTTTTCCAGAGTTTTTACATATTGGAACCACTTATATAGCACTTTATAGTTTATAGATTTGAAAAGAATTCTGGAGAACAGTTTTGTAATACTATGATGGAAGTGTTGTCTGAACCACAAGCCGTAAAAGAATAAAATTGAGAATTTTAGCATCAGAAGCTAAATTGATTTGAATATCTAACAATGAGTCAATCTATTAACTGGAATGACAGGAAAAGCATAGCCATTAGATTCTTAGATTTAAGAGTCAAATAAGGCAGAGTTTTTATCAAAAAATTTTTTTGATAAAAACTCTGCCTTATTTGAGAAGAAGTAAACATTGACTTTTTGCAATCATAAAAAGACATTTGTTCTCAAAAAAAATGTTATTGCAAAAAATTATGAAAAAAAATGAATATGGTTTAATATAGCAACTGCACAAGAAGGTGAAAAATGTGAATTAAAATGAGGCTTGATTTAAAACCAAAGAGAAAGGAATAAAAGTTTTTATACTTGCTTGGATCCAGGAGGTTAGATAGTAGGCACATTTATGCAAACATAATATTGATTTATATGGATGTAAACATATATGTTTGTTATTTATTTAGATGCATCTTTACATATTTGTATGAACTTTAGTATTTATACGGTGTAGTGTTTGCTAAATGAGAAGATGATGATCAGATGGATGTGGTTTGGGTATCAGCATGGAAAGTGGCAGCAGTTTAAGGAGAAAAATAGTAGAGGTAAAAGTAAGAAAACTTGGTGAATTAAAGAATTTTAGCTTTAAAAAGTTTAGAATACTAACAATATTAAATTATTTTTAAAACTTTATTCAAAAAAATTTATGCCAAAATCTGAGAATGTTTTGAGCATTATTTAACATTAATAAGTTTTGTGCACATTCACGCTTGATTTGCACTCTATTAATGAGTTAATAGGTTACACAATAGATTACAAAATAATTACATTATAATAACAATAACAGCAATAGAATTTAAGAGTTTTTAACTTAAATCTTTAAACTTTGGTGGCACTTGAGTGCATTAAATATCAACAAGCTTTAGTTAAAGAAAGCAAATGCTTGATATTTTTTATATTAGATAAGGTGAAGGCTAAACCTCGATGATGATGATCATGATGATTTTTATATATTTTGTAATCGTCGTAATAGCATAAAATAAGTAATTATTTTTAAAAACAATAGTAAATATCTTTACAGAGAATAATAATAGGGGATAATGTCCCTACCAAACACAAATTAAAGATAAAAGAAACCCTCCACATTAAATGGGAAAGTCTCTCACCTAATAAACAAACTTTGCAATATGCAATAAACTTATCTATTTAATTTTACTGTCAGTTTATTATTATTATTATTATTATTATTATTATTATTATTATTATTATTATTTTTGACAGTTAGTTATTTTGATTAGTTTTTTACCGAGTTATTTTCAAATAAATATATTGATTCATTATGTAAATTTTTATCTGTTATTATTTCTCTGTAAAGACTTCTATTTTTTAATATTTATTTCAGAGTTTTATTATTGTAAAATAATCTTTTAAAAGTGTAAATAAAATTTTATGAAGCATGTCAATAATAACCAACATCGTGTTATTTTTAAAAATAATTACATACATCACTTACTAATAGCTCCTGGGAAGAAACTCTGCAAACCTTGTAAACAAAAGATTGCCAGACAAGAAGATCTTCCAAAAAAGTATAATATAGGTCTCTTGGTACAGTTTGATAGTGCCAAATTACTTGGTGCAATTATCTTGGTACTTGTTAAATGTGTGAAATTTATCTGTGAATGATTTGAAATGAACAGAATGATTTTTCAGTTTTTTTTGTGTCATTTCAAAATTAGATCAAATTAAAAACAAAATAGAGGTTAAAAATCTAATTATTTGCTACTAAAAGTTATGTCTTGAGAAAAAGTGCAAACAATGTCACTCTAACATTTCAGGATTTTTTTAGACAAATTGCACTCATTTTTAAAAGAAAAGATATTACTGGTAGAACTTCATGGTCACAAAGACCATCATTTTATGTCTGTTAATTAAAAAAAAATTAATACTAATATTGATTAGTAAAACATTTGATATTATTCTTAAAAATAAAAATAATACCTAGGTTGCGTTAAATGTTAAAAAATTGGTTATATTGGATGGTCTTGTGAATTTTGATTGCTGAGACAAAGTATAAATTTGGTTTTTTAATTTATCTATAATAAATTAGTGCTGTTTTTAAAATAATTAACTAAGACATGTTGCCCCACCCACATTAAAGTAAACGGTTTGTCTAAGATAATCTTTTCGAGGTAGGCAGGTTCTGAATAAGGTAATTTCAACTTGTCATAGAGGCATATTGTTGTGGTTATCTTCTTTTGTATCAATTTTATTACTCTTTAAATGGCTAATTAAGTTAAAGGATTTTAAACAATTCTTAGATTCCAGTCTTTTTTTGAACATGGCTGAACTTAAAACTATAACATTGATAAACTGCCTTAACTTGTCTCAGTGTTAAGTTGACAAAATAGCTGGCATAAGCAAGTATGCTTCTTTCCCCAAATTCAAACTCAAATGCATTATTGAACTTTGTGCTTGTATTCAGCAGTGAAGTAATTTTAAAAACCTTTAAGGAAATAAGAAATTTTTTAGTTCATAACAATTTTATAATAATTTCATAGTACAGTTTGTGGTAAATACTGTGTACTTATTTTGTTATAATCTCAATTCTTGCATCTCTAATGCATTATTTTAAAGGGTATTTATGTTTGATTAAGTGCCTGTATTCCTCCCGATTTCGTTTTGGGACCTTCTCTATTTATTATATATGAGCTTTTTTTTCAAAGATGTTAAAAAAAAAAAGCTTTTTTTTTACATCTTCGCTCTGGACATCTTCCAACTCTAATTAGTGGCTGCAAGCAACCACTAATTAGAGTTGGAAGTTACTGTAAAAGAAATGATGAAGATTGTAGAGCAAAATAATGATTGACAGAGGGATTAAAAGATTGCTAATTGTATGAATCAGGAAAGCAAGATAAAGTACACGAATTCCAAAGAACTGATGTTCAAGGAAAAAAGCTAGACGAATAAGAGTTTTTGGAGCACTCAGGAACTGTCACTGGAAAAGGATGAGACTTAATTAAATGACGAGTAACACGAGAATGAATTTTTGTAGATGGCACAAGAAACGCTGGCTCTTTAGATCAATGTCCATTATGGTATTTGTAGAAAAGAGAAAGAGAAGCAACATGACGATGTAATAATGGTTGGAGGTTGGCTGCAATGTGAGCCCCATGCTGTAGCAGAAATAAGATCATTTCAAGCTCAAATGCCCCCTCCAAGCAACCAGAGAGTGTTGGCTTCTTATCAAGACAGGAATAAATGGTAGTATCATCAGTGAACAATGCCACCTTAGATGTGAGAATATCTGGAAGATCATTAATGTAAATTAAAAAGAGTATAGGGCTAAGGATTGAACCTTGAGGAACCCCTTAAGTTACAGAATAAGTAGAAGAGTACTGTCCATCAAGGACAACTTTTATACTACAATTAGAAAGGTGTTGCCAGATATACCGTAAGAAAAAAACTTATGGAGAAGACCAGGATGCCAAACTTTATGCCTTAATCTCTCCACCTTTATTTAATGTAGGATAAAACCTATCAGTTACCAAATCAGCTGTAGAACAATAATCGCTCTCCAGAATTTATGAAAAGAGGAATAACAGATGCTGCTTGTTAAATAGTTGTGAAAGCATAGATGACAACTCCGAAAAACACTTTTGCAAGACTATAACAGCTATGTTGTCCGGGCCACAAGCTGTAGGCCCGGACAACAAGCCTCACTCGTCTCCGTGGTTTTCCACTGTGTGGAAGACCACAAAGAAGGCTTGACCTGGAATTATTGAAAGGGAATAAAAGATTCCATGCTAGCTTGAATCCATAAAGTTATGTAAGAAGTACATTTATCAGCAGGAAGACAAAAGATTTCTACCCAAGGGCCATCATAAAGAAAATCACAGGAAGAGTCCCAGTCAGCTTTAAGATAGTTGTAAGAGGTACAATGATAGGGGGTTAAGATGATGAAGAAGAATGAGATAATAGTTTTAGAGTTATCAAACTGTGATCAGAAACACCTAAGGGTGAATGTGGAAAAACTGAGCACTGGCTAGGATCAGAAACAAGACATAAGTCTAGTGGAGAAGGTAATTGATTCGGGTTGTCAGGAAAGCGGGTTGAAAAGTTGACTATTTGAATTAGAGATTGAGAAAGGCAAAGGTTGTGGTCTTTAACGCCTGCGTCACTGACACTAGAGCCAAGCCATTCTGTGTGGTAAGCATTAAAGTCACCAACAACAACAATATTGGCTGATGGATAAAGAGAGAGGGCTTGGTCAATTTTATCCGAAATAACATCAAAAAGAGTGCAGTCTTGAGATGAAGGAGAGAGAAATAGAACAAAGAGAAAGGCGATAGAGTGAAGTGGTGTTAAACGAAAGCACATAAAAGAATAGTTGGTGGATTCAAACCTAGTTTCTCGAAAAATGGGTGAATTCTTATGAATGTAAATGCCCAGGCCAAGGATGTGACTATTGGAGTTTTTACAAATTAAAGGAAGATAATCATCAACACTAAGATCACAAGATGAGACAGCCGAACTCAGATTATTCTCACAAAGAACAAGTAGGTCTGGTGTACTTTGCAAGAGATTAGACAGAAGTAAAGTTACTTCGGTGACCATGAATGGTAGTGAATAATAAATTTAGAGATCTTGGTGATGACAATGGTTTTTTGTGTTTTATAGTTTTGGGTACTTTAGTTATTATAATTTATAAAGAACTTGACTCAAAGCATAAATAGTACTCATTACACTGCTTAATAGTTCAAGCAATTACCTCATTGCCATTAATAAACCCTAAGCCATAGCAAAGGGCTCCAAATGTGGCTTTGACAATGCACACCAAAAGTATAAACAGGGACACCATTAATGCACAACATGGCGCTGTTAAAACTTTGATAATTTTCAGCTGTTGATGGAATCAGCCTTTCTGAGAATTACCACAGAGTTAGGAAAACCTGACTACCAGCTGGTCTCAGAACCATAAAATTGTTTTTTGGATCTGTACCCTTATTAGGAGATAATAGAATGAGTTGCCTAGCTATAAAAATAGAGATACAAGCAAAACCCATGCATTTAGTCAAAAAGATCCAGCGTTCAACATCCTAAACTGGAAACTATGTATTAAAAATACATATGCGCCAGCCTAATAGTTTAGGGTTATATCTGCTGAACAAAAAAAAATTTGAATACAATATTATCAACTGATCTTATATTTTATGATCAAGTAAAAATCAAATAAAAGTATATAAAATTAACCTAATGTTTGGAATTCTCAATAATGCATTTGTATCTAGAAAAGTTACTATATGGAGTAAATTTTATAAAATTTATGCATGCTTACCTTATTTAAAATAAGATATAAAAAATATTGCTTCAAAAATACCATACAATCTTCCTAGCCTTAAACTATTTGCTGTTCTGCCATTAAATGCACATCACTAGAAAATAGGCACAAACCTAGATTCTAATTCAAAATTATAAACTAGAGATTCAAAAACAAGTTTAATAGTTCTTCGGCATTTAAGGTTGTTTGCACATAATGAAATGCACAAAAATAAAAATGAAAAACTAAATGAAAAGTTATATGTTTACATATATATATATATATATATATATATATATATATATATATATATATATATATATATATATATATATATATATATATATACACACAAACCTTGAATTGAAACCCGAGAAGTGAGGTCGGCTAAAAAAAATTTAATGCAAAGGTCTTACCGTAAAACATAGAAACAAGGTCAGTAGTTTTTTGCCAACCTCAAACACTTTTAGGTTGGCATTACCAAATGCCGACCCTATTTCTGCGGGCTATATATATATATATATATATATATATATATATATATATATATATATATATATATATATATATATATATATATATATATATATATATATATATATATATATATATATATATACACTATGTAATACTCATACTATTTATTAAAATATTTGTATATGAAAACATAGTTGGAAATATTTTTATTGAGGGGAAATAAAGATTATTCTTTAAAAGTTTAATATATTAAAAAAATGTTTAATTAAATCTTAGAATTAAAGGTTAATCCTGAGCATAGTTGCAAAAGTAAATTTAAAAAAAAGTAAACTTGGCCATAAAAGTTTTGTTATTAAAATCTTTTTTTTTTTTTTTTGAGAAGCTAACACAAATGTGTCTGTGTTTTAGGTTAAAGATGAATGGAAAGATTTTGAGGAAAAAAAGCAAAAAGATTATTCTAGTCTAAAAATTCAAGATCTTCAAGTATCGTAAGTGATTTAAAAAAATCTTTTTTTTTCCTTTCTTTTTTTTTTTTTCAATATGTAAATTCATTTTTTTAATGTCAATTTTTTTTTACAAAAATTGTTTAAATAAGAAAATATTTTGTATTTACCCTTTTTTATAAATTAAATTAAAACATTTTTTTTCTCTATGATTGTAATCAAATATCTCAGAAATAATTGTTTAACTGATAAAATTTCTTGGAAACAATTTAATTGATAAAATATAAGAGTTAGCTAATTATTTTGAGATGCAGAATGCAAGTGGAACTGTTGATTTTATGTATAAAAAATGATTTATTCAAAATGCTCAGTGTCAAAAGTTGATTTGAAAATTTTTTTAAACTTATTATCAACACATTTACCTAATATTGTTATATTTGATGCAGGTATAATATTGTTATTTTTGTCTTTTGTCTTGTGCAGGTATAATATTGTTATTTTTGTTTGTCGGGTATGAAACTTGAAGTTTTATACCCGACAAACAAAAAACGTAACCAAACCATTACAAAAATGTAATTATTACATTAGATTGAGTTCTGACATGATAAAAATATCTAAGTAAAAAACAAATAACTGTTATAGTTTACTAGTGTCCTATGTCAAATATAGGTAATAAGAATTTTTTTGAATGCCGACACTCAGATACAATTTTTTTTTATTTTTTTTTATTTAGTAGATTTTTAACATTATGTGGTAAAATAACATATTTTTCGTAGAGACAAAGGTGGCATATTTTTGTTGTTAGATTGTAAGGCTTGCAATGTTTGACAATTTTCCATTTTATAATAGGCTTTATATTTTGGTCTTTTAAGCTCCATATTTCCTTAGAGAGTTCTGTGTCATTTCTATATTTATCTGATGCAAATGAGTTGAGATGGTTTGTGTATCTTAATTTAAATGGTGTATGACTAATACCAAAGTGTACTTTTTTATTATGATCATGATGACTGTAACTTATGGTTGCTTGGTAGATTATATTGTTAGACAAACACTGGTTGCTCGAAGGACAAAACTTAAGGTTTAGGCATGCAACTGTAGCTGATCTTAATAGAATTTCGATTGAATATTCTATGTAGCTTGTGACTGGGTGGAAACTGTAAGTAATGTAGGTCAATAAGGGCTAGAAAACAGTTTCCTATTTTATTTTTTTTACATCCAAGCTGGAGGGAGGGCTATACCAAATGATATTACATTTACAATGCTTTTTCTGTTGATTTTGATTTGGGATTAATTGTAGTTGGTAGGAAAGCTTTGTCTTGTATCCTTTTTTTTTTAAAGCTTCTTCCAAAGGTGGAGTAGCCTTTTTAAAGACAGTTTCATTAATTGACATGGGAGATAATCTTTGTTCAATATTGCGAGAGATTGTTTTTATTATGCTTGGAGGGTGGTTATACAGGGTGTTACCCAGCCTGGTGGCACCGCGTATAACGCGGTATTCCCAATTGGTTTAAAATTCCCAAAGGTTTATAAGATCATAGTAAAAAAAAAAAAAATTAAGTCAGTCTCAGATTTAAAGTGTCGCGCTAGACTAGTAAAAATTAGTATGCATGACGAAAAAATGAAATAAATTGATCGATTTTTTACGTATAAAAACATGTTGTCATTAACAAGCGTCATTAACCTTAACAAGATCATTCATTTAAAAGTTTAAAAAAAAACTTTTTTCAATTTTTATTGACACTTATTCTCGAGTTCAGATTTTTCTTTTTTTTTTTTTTTTAATTTTTTTTAATTGCGCTTTTCTCGAAATACGTAATTAAGACATTTTTTAAAAAAATGTCTTAATTACGTATAAAAATGTTGATTTCAATTTATTTTTGCAAAATGTTATGTAATAATACCCAATAGAAACAATTGCTTGTCTAAAAATACACAGATATAAACAAAACATTTTAGAGAAAGTTTTGCCAAATTGGCTTCCCGAAAAAGGCATTTTTCTCGAATAATTTGGATATAATATTCATTTATATGTATTTATAAAATGTATTTATATGTAAGATTATATTATATTTATGTATTCATAAATGTAATAATTTAATGTGTATGTACTAATTTATGAATTAGCAACTCTGTTACTGTATTTGCGAAATCCTAAAAACATTTTCGGCACAGTAAAAAAATCTATTGTACTTCCTTTAGCTTCAAAAATAGACTTTATTAAATTGTCAAAAAAGTTGTCTACAATATTTCAATATTCTTTTGTGAACACCAACTCAAATCAAGAGGAAATCGAAAAAACTACTTATCGGAGTAAAGCTTTTTTAAAAGAGCTCATAGGAAGTTCAATTAATAAGTTTCTTGAATAGCCTCCAGAAAATCTCACTAGCCCCAAGACGATTAAAGCTGAGTTTTTATTATTTGAGGCAAAGCATAAAAGAACCAAAAACTTTGATATTTGATGTACTTAAAACTATAGTTATTGTTGTTTAAAATGTACTTAAAACTATATATATTGTCATTTGTTATTTGATGTACTTAAAACTATAGAACCAAGCTCGGTACCTAGTGAATGCATATTCTCAACTGCAGGCAATTTTGTGCCCAAAATTAGAACAAGACTTAGCCACCGTCCAGTGGTCATATTATGCTTTTTTTAAATATATAAATTAAGTATTTCTCGTTTTTCAATTTTTATTTTAAAAAATTTAAAAACCGATTAAAACCAGTTTTTCAAAAAGTCAGTTTTTGTCCAAACCCTATTAAAAAGCAATTTCAAAACTAAAAAAATCATTCTTTCAAAAATTTATTACATGAAATTTACTAAAAAAATTTTTAAAAAAAATTTCTTGCCTTTAGTCCTTTAATTTAATTATGTTTTAAGTGCATAACTTTTGCATAATATAAGTGCATAACTTTTGCATAATATAAGTGCATAACTTTTGAATAATATAAGTGCATAACTTTTGCATAATATAAGTGCATAACTTAACTTTTGCATAATATAAGTGCATAACATAAAAAAATTTGTAAAACAGAGCATTTTAGATTTAAAAAAAAAAAGTTTATTTAAAAAAAAAAATTAATTTAATATTTAATAATAAATTTAATTTAAATATAATAAATTTAAGTTAAAATTTTTATCTAAAAAAAATTTTGAAAATTGAAGTGAAAATGTTTTTTACAACAATTAATTACTTTATGTTTTCCTGATAAATTTAGTTCTAACAATCTCAATTTCCCAAAATCTTTCCAATCAGCAACTAACCCCTCAGCTTCACCAAAGTGAAATTTAATCTATTTTGTCTTTTCCGTAAGCTAATTGTTGAAAATTTCATATATTTGTTTACCAGTAGGGTCTTTATAGTCATTAATTTTTTTATTTCGGATATAACATGACGAAGAGGTAACTCACCATGGTGAAGTAAGCAAACCTCTATATAAATGCTACCTTTAAAAATCTTTTCTAATCGGATAACTAAACAATTGTTAACACCAGTTTTGGAACTTGTATTATCTATACTTCTAACCATTCAATAGTATCATATTCGGTAAAAACATTTAGTGTTGCTGAAGCCATACTGTTTACTGTACCATTTTCTACCTCAACATGTGTCAGATATTTTCCAGAAAAAGTCTACTTTAAAAAGTAAAATTTATGTAATGTTCATCTTGAGTTGTTCTATACAATATCCATTACTCTTGCATTTCATCCCAAATTTTTGTTATTCTTGCCATCCACAACAGTTAATTTTAGCTATGAAACCTATGGACAATGCTAAGTTTCGCTTAAACTAACTACTTGCTTTTTAACAAAACACCTAATATTCTGTTATTATCTGAGATTTGTCATTCTTAGTTAATACTCCATTGTCAATTAAAGTAGCTGTTGATATTGCAGCTGCAGCAGCAACATTAGTCTTAAATCTTATTGCAGCTTTGGCTAAATTAGTGATCATTGTCATCATCATCATTGTCATCATCATCATCATTGTTTTAGCTTTTTTGTTTCTGTGCTCACATGGGTTGGACTTTTCTCATAATGCCACTTCTCTAACATGCAAGGTCTTCTTTCCTTAAATGTAGCTTTTTCAAATCATCTGAAAAACACATTCTTTCCAAGTTTTTCTGCTTCTAGCTTTTTCTTCTGAAACTTACAACTCTCTACATGCTGATAACTGCATCATTATGCTTTACATGCCCAAACCACCTAAATATTCCCTGATGCACCCAATCAGATATAGTCACAATGTCTTATCTTTTTCTTAAATCATAAATTTTATTGTCTTTTTTAAGTCACATCGCATATCCATCTAATCATCATCTTTTCTGTTATTTTTGAAAGCTGAATATTTCATATGAATCCACATAAAAACTAATTAATTTACATATTAACTTGCTAAATAGTTTTTTATTCACCGCAGAGCTTAGTAGTTTTTTTGTAAATTGCTTTATTAATAACTGTTGACCGTCTGAAAAGTGTAGTTTTGATCTCAAACATTATGAGAATTTGCTCCTAAATTTCCCCTTCTTTTTTTTTGTTTCTCAAAAAGATTACAGTTTTTTTTTGCTTTTTTTTTTTTGTGGCAAATAATTTCTATATATAGAATACATAAATTTCATGCTGAGCCAAGAGCTATATGACACATGACAGACAGAGCCTAATGACCACCATGAAATGTGACAGTTGCTTTAATGTATACCATTATAATGCATGAGTGCTGTCTGTCTCTTTCAAACTGTGAAATATTATGGAAATATTTTGGAAAGATGTCAAGTTTATTTGCTCTTACCTTCAATTTTGTTAAAGACACTAAAACTTCTTTTTTTTTAGTCATTTTAATATTGTTTGAAAAGCTTCAGATAACTAAAAAATGAGAGTTTTTGTTTTGGGCTATAATAAAAACACATGTTTAGAAAATGAAAATTATATTTATTTTAATTGAAGGTACATCACTTATCTCTAAGAAAAAGCTAATGATCATTCAATGTAGCTTTGTCATGATGTTGGAACAGGAGCATTATACAGCATTTATATCAATTTAACAAATATATCTTTTGATTCAGGTAATCGATTGTTTTTCAACATTTTGCAGAACTTTTCTGCAGCATCTCATTTACTTATTGAATCATTGTTTCAAACTAAGTCCCTTCTTATTTATTATTTTAGCTGATCATCCACTACCACTTTTACAATTGGTTGTTAAGGTTGCCAAAATATGGTAAATAGTTGAAACTGGAACATTTTTGGTTTTAAAATAATTCACAGTAAACTTTTTTCTAAGATTTTTGTGCATTTGATAGAACTTTACAATGCACTTGCGTAGTACATATTGTTTTGATGGCAATTTAAGTACAATTAAATTAGCTGATGCAAAACAAAACATATGATAAATTTGTAAACACAAAGAATAGTTTCACATAGACGTACTTTTCTTTTTTTAACTTTTGTAGTTTTGATATGAGAGGAATTATTCTCCTTTTTTAGTTACTAATATAAAATTAGCCACATTGTTACAACATAAAGTAGAATAAAATAAAAATTCATGAAAATATAATAATATTAGTAGTATAGTAGTTGTTTAGTTTCAACCTTCATTATAAAGTCACTGAATTTTAAGTTATCAGCATCATTAAAACTGTTTATTTCATCCTCTTGAATGTTTCTTAATGATAAACTTGTTTGTGTTGTTGTATGTGGTTTTGCTAATGCTGTTGTAATTTGAATAAAATTAATGTTATGAAATATTGTTGGAGGTACATTTTGTTGTTTCTTACCATTAATCATTATCAAATTGAGATTTTATCTATCGTAAATGTTCATCTTTGTCTTTTGGTAAACAATAAACAGATACATATTTTTTATTTCTTTTGTCATAGTTAAGCGAGCATAAAGTAACAAAACACTTTAGAGGCATAATGCATTTAATACATATTTTTTAATATCTCAGGCAACTCCAGATTTCCACTGAAAAATCAGCCTCCAATCTTTCTGTTTGATTGCGTGATTGTAAAGCCTGTTGTAAAGATGGCTTTGTTCAGAGATTTTTCCAAAAGTAGGCCATTGGCCTTTATTTCCAGGGCTATGTATGTATGTATGCGTGTCTATATATATATATATATATATATATATATATATATATATATATATATATATATATATATATATATATATATATATATATATATATATATATGTATATATATATATATATATAATTGATTGTTCCATATGATTTAATCTTTGGGTTTGTAGTTGCATGATAGAAACTTATTTTTATGACAGCATTATTTATATATGGATTAATTTGCTAATTTCCTTATTTTGATCAAGTTAGGAAAACATAAAGTAAGGAGTGCACTTTAAAGCATTGAAGGAATAGTTACAGTAAAAGACTTTGCTGAATGACTAATCATGCAATGTTTTTGTTGATGGGTAAGTGTTAGTAGCATAAAGAACACAAGCTAAGCAGTTAGATGATGTCCAAGTATGTTTACAATGTTTTTTTAGACCTTGTCTAAAAACAGAAATGGCGTCATTAAAATAATCAGTTTAAATATGACAATGGTATTCTATACAAGGATAAATAAGAAATTTATAGATGTAGAGCATGAAATCAGGAGTTAGAAAATGGCAAACACTAGAATGATAAGCAGCCTTAAGTGATGCTAACTTTGTGATGAATTGTATATATAGTGTATTTCCATATTATATTGTATATCTGGTTTGTCTAACTACCAACCCATTAGTCTTCTTCCTATCATAAGCAGGGTTTTTGAATCTTTAATTAACAAACACTTAATCTCTTTTCTTGAATCTAATAACTTACTTTCTGATCATCAATATGGATTTCGATCTTCTCGTTCTACCGCTGATTTGCTAACAGTAATAACCGATAGGTTTTATTGCGCATTAGATAAAGGTGGAGAGGTTAAGGTCATCGCTCTTGACATTTCTAAAGCGTTTGATAAAGTTTGGCATGCTGGTCTTCTCCATAAGCTTTCTTCTTACAGTGTATCTGGAAACATCTTTAAGATTATTGAATCCTTCCTTTCCAATTGTAGTATAAAAGTTGTCCTTGATGGACAGCACTCTTCTTCTTATTCTGTAACCTCAGGGGTTCCTCAAGGTTCAATCCTTGGCCCTATACTTTTTTTAATTTACATTAACAATTTTCCAGATATTCTCACATCTAAGGTGGCATTGTTCGCTGATGATACTACCATTTATTTTTGTCATGATAAAAAGCCAACTCACTCTGATTACTTGCAGGGGGCATTTGAACTTGAAAAGGATCTCACTTCTGCTACAGCATGGGGGTTACAGTGGCTTTAATTCAGATATAACTTAATTTTTTTCTGCCAATCATTTTTGCAATAATTTAGAACTTCCTATATTTATGAACGGTAATGTACTTGATGAGTCATCTACCCTTCATCTTCTAGGATTAACTCTTACTTCTGATCTTTCTTGGAAACCTTATATCAAATCCATTGCAAAATTAGCATCTGCTAAAGTTGATCTCTTTATCAAGCTTGACACTTTCTTACTCTGGATTCTATTCTCTATCTCTATAAATCTTAAATCTGTCCTTGTATGGAATACTGTTGCCATATCTGGAGCGAATCTTCTAATGATGCCCTTGCTCTTTTAGACAAGATGCAAAAACGCATTGTAAACATAGTTGGATCTGCTCTTGCTGCCAACTTTCAACCTTTTTCACATCGTTGTAAATGTTGCTTCTCTTTCTCTTTTCTACAAATACTATAATGGGCACTGCTCTAAAGAGCTAGCATCTTTTGTCCCATCTAATAAATTCACTCTCGTGTTACTCGTCATTCAATTAAATCTTATCCTTTTTCTGTTACAGTTCCTAAGTGCTTTAAAAACTCTTATTTGTTTAGTTTTTTCCCTTGAACATTAGTTCTTTGGAATTTCTTCCTTCATCTTGCTTTCCTGATTCATATGATTTGCAATCTTTTAAGTTGTCTGTCAATCGTTATCTTGCTCTACAATCTTCATCTTTTCTCTTCTGATAACTTCCAACACTAATTAGTGGTTGCTTGCAGTCTTGTTGGAAGCGAAGTTGTTTAAAAAAAAATGCTGTTTATTTCTACATTAGTAATGAAAGAAGTAAATAAAATAAGAGTAACACTCAGCAGTAAACAACTTAAAATAGGCTAAAAGTTAAAATAGGCCAGCTACTGTTTAGTTTGGTTTAAAATAGGCCAGCTACTGCAAGCCCTGAAGAGTCATAGAAGATAGATAACGTTTAAGGTCAGCTGTCTGATCTAAGCAATTAAAAAGTGATTTTTTTTTATCAAGGAGTATATAGTTGTGTCATCAGCAAGTAGTCATTTTAGAATTCAGATTATCAGAAAGAGCATTCATATAGATGAGAAACAGGACTAAGGTTAAAACCTTGTGGCACTCTAGAGGTTACTGGAAATGAAGGAAAATGTTGTCTACCAAGGACAACTCTAATATTGCAATTTGAAAGAGTTAATTTAATAATTTTGAAAACTTACCTGGATTCACCAGATGCCAGAAGCGTGTTTATGTAGAAACCAGCATGCTAGACTTAATAAAAAGCTTTGATATTTCAAATATTGCTTCAATCTTTTACAAATATTTTTACAAATATTTGTAAAAGATTGAAGCAATATGATGTAATGATGATTTTTTTGTTGAACTTAAAATAAATCATCTATACTTGGTACTATAATCAGCATTTAAATTATTAGGGAGAAATTTATTCAAACATAAATAAAACTTTATTTTCCTGAGCAAAGCATACATAGAACTTTCTTTCCTAAGCAAACATTGATATAACTTCCTTTTCTTAACCAATATGCTATGCAATTGCTTTATTCTTGCTGGTCAACTCACAGACATAACTTGGTGCGACTTATGTTAAAATTATGTTTATTGATATTTTTTTAAGTATTTGGTATTTACATAAAGCGATTTGTATTTTCATTTGAGCTTCACTGAATTGTGCACTCACATGAGCTTCTGATTATTACAAATGAAGCAGATAAAGATTACTAAGCAAATATGTTTTGATTTTACCTTTTCAAGTTCTCAGTATTTAATGATAAACGAATTAAAAATTTTTAGTAAAGAAAATAAAAAAAAATTTTCATTAAAAGGATTTTGTATTTTATATTTTATTATTATATGCTAGCGAAGAAGTGAATAAAGTAGATACAGAGAGCGATGAAAATAATGATGTCGAAGATATTGAAGGAGGAGGTTAGTTTTTATTTAATTTTTTTCATGTTAGTTCAACTTTGTTAATAGAAATTCTAATTTTTATTTTTTTAATTTTTAGTAAAGAAAATAAAATCTGAAAAAGGTAGTTCTAAATGGGGAGAAACTCAAGCATTACCACAACCAGGTATAAAAGTAAATAAGTAGAGTGGTTTCAAAAAAAATCAGTGCTCTTTATTTTTTGGGTCTATTTTTTGAATTTGTTTTATTAAATATTTTTTGATGAAACTTGTCAATATTTTGTAAATGTTTTTCTTTTTTTTTAAGTTTTATTAAGTGCATATGAAGTTTCTTAGTAATAAAAATGTTGTGCACATGTTAAATTAATTGTTATTTTGTCTTTTCAAACTAATTGTTATGGTTTTCTTAACATTTGTTTGTTCCTCTCAATAATATTTGTTTGTTCCTCTCAATAGTTTGTTTGTTTCTCTCAATAATTTGTTTGTTTCTCTGAATAACTTGTTTGTTCCTCTCAATAACATTTTTTCCTCTGAATAAAAAGACAGAACCATGTAATTCAATAGAAAAAATAACTAGTTCATTTATATTTCAAAACTACGGTTCATAAGAATAGTTTTATAAATATAAACTAAATTCAAGATTCAAATCTGACTTTTAATGAAAATTGAGAAAAACTTGTTTCTTTAAATACAATAAAAAACATTTTTCTCAGAAAAAGTATGCTTATCTAACTGTTAGTAAATGCAAGAATCACCTCACAAAAACTCCAAAATCCCGAGATTAAGGTGGTGTAAACAGGAATTATCTTTTTCCAGATATTTCCGGAATTCTGGATATTTTTTAAACTTTTTATATTTTCCGGATAATTAGTTTCCGAAAATACAATTTATAAAATTTTTTCTGTTTATTACTATCAAATGAAACAGTAACAAGTATATATAAACAGTAAATTTGTTGTCTATAAATTACGGAACGTTATATTTAGTTAACAAACAAAGCCAAAAATATTAAAAGATTTCCCTCGCAGAGTAAACCAAAAATTAATAAGCATTTTAATTAAAGTTTAATAAAAATTCCAGCGCAAAAGAGCGAATGATCTCCTACTTTTAAAATAAAATTAGCGATGCGTGTCAAAGTCTTCTCTTTTTAAAAAAAATTGTAAATTTACATTTTTTAAATAGCTCTTTTAGCTATTAGCAAAGAGATTTCTTTTTTTATTGTTTTAAAACTTTTTTTAAGTAAATCACTTCACTTATGGACTGAAACTTGTCTCAGTTTATTTGTCGGTGGTTCAAAATTTACTGCATCATTATTTCGTTTTCTGTCCAGTCGTACCATTGCAAATCTCTATTCGTACACACTTCTTAAAAATATCATTTTTTTCGCAGAATTTCTTATTAATTGGAGACTTTAAAAAGTTTTGACGATGGTATTTAAAAAGTTATGACGATGGTAGAATAATACAAAAGCTGTCAGAGAAATCAGTTTTTAATTTCCGTCAAATATGAGATATAATCGTTAAATTTAAACTCTTTAGAGATTAGTGAAATCTAATTCTAGAGTGCAGTGAAACAATGTATAGTTCAATCTAAGAATGAGAAATTTGGTATGACCTTCAACTAGTAGAAACTTCTATTAATCTTGCCGTTACTGTAATACCGTGGTGTAATATGGTCGTGCGGTACAACTTATTTTCGTAAAGGGTGAAAAAAACTTATTATTACTAAGATTAATTACTTAGTAATAAGTTATTACATACAAATAAGTGTTATATAATAAAACTATATTCTAAACTATAAGAATTTTATTCTATGTAATTATTTTAAATAAATCTAAACATATGTACTTTGACTAAACGTCAAGTGAATCAAATTGCTTTTAAGTGCCATTATTAGGTTTTTAAAAACATTGCATTTTGAGGTACGTTTTCTTTTCAATTCAAAAAACACGTGTCAAAATTAATTTTATTTTCTTTCAATTAAAAAAAATTAAATTTTTAAATCTTTTAAATTTTGAATTACATGAATGAGCACGTGAATCATTAATAATGCCTCACCTTATTGTTTATCATAAAATAAATTTGAAATATTTATTTAAACTTTATCTAACGAATGTTTAAACTTTTATAATTTTTGAACGTGGAGATTTTTTCATAAAAGAAGTCGTTGTACTAAAAATTAAGTTTAGAACATTTTAAGCACTGAGTGGAAGAACTAATTGTAGAAAACTAACTGATTACAGAAAAATAATTCAATATCTTTTTACTTTTTATTTATTTATTTTCTTTTTTAACATATTTATTGCTAAAGATTTCTTATTTTTTGTATTTTAGAAGTCTGGTGTTTTATTATTATTATTATTTCCTATCTTTTTACTGCGATTGAAGTATGCTCCGAAAATAGTTAAAATAAAATCCATTTATATTTTCCAAAAGTTGGTGTTTTGCAGGTAATAAAATGTTTACCCGAAAGAAGTTGGCAAGCTAAAGTGTTGGATATTTTTTTTATTTTTTTTTATTTGCATTCACTCCCAACAAGGCTGCAAGCAACCACTATTAAGTTGGGAGTTACTAGGAAAAAAAAAGAACAGAGTTATAGAGCAAGGAAACGGTTGACAGAAGACTTGAAAAGTTGAAGGTTATATGAGTCAGGAAAACATGAAGATGGGAGAGAGAGTTCCAAAGGATTGAAGTGCCGGGAAAAAAACTAGATGAATAAAAGTTTTTAGAGCATGCAGGGACAGATACAGTAAACGAATGAGACTTAGCTGAATGACGAGTAAAACGAGAATGAATTTTAGTTGATGGAACTAGAGATAATAACTCCTTTGAGCAGTGACCATGATAGTATCTGTAGAAAAGAGAAAGAGATGCAACTTTACGACGATAGGAAAGAGGTTCAAGCTTAGCAGATAGTCCAGGTCCAACAACATTTACAATGCGTTTTTGGACCTTGTCAAGAAGAGAAAGTGAATCGTTAGAAGAACCAGCCCAAATATGACAACAGTATTCCATACAGGGACGAATAAGAGATTTGTAGAGGTAGAGAATGAAATCAGAAGTAAGGAAATGGCGAGCACGATAAAGAGAAGCAACCTTAGCAGAAGCTAATTTAGCAATCGATTGTATATATGGTTTCCATGAAAGGTCAGTAGTAAGCGATAATCCAAGAAGACGTCAAGAGGACGACTCAGTAAGAGGGTTGCCATTCATTAATATAGGAATGTTAACCATATTACGGTAGTTGTTTGCAGTAAGCAATTGGGTTTTTTTAGAGTTGAAATTCACAAGCCACTGTGAACCCCAATCTATTACTGAAGTGAGATCAGATTCAAGATCAGCTGCTTGTTCTAGGCGATCGAAAAGAGAAGACTTTTTGTCAAGACAGGAGTATAAAGTTGAGTCATCAGCAAAAAGAGCTACTTTAGATGAAAGGATGTTAGGAAGATTGTTTATGTAGATAAGAAACAAAACAGGGCCCAGGATGGAACCTTGGGGAACCCCAGAAGTTACTGGAAATAAAGAAGAGTGTTGGCCTTCAAGGATGACTTTAATGAACCGGTTAGAAAGAAATGATTTGATAATCTCAAAAACTTTCCCAGAAACACCATATGAAGCAAGCTTATGGAGAAGACCAGCATGCCAAACTTTGTCGAAAGCTTTAGATATGTTGAGAGCAATAGCCCTAGCCTCACCGCCTCCATCTAATGCACGATAAAATCTTTCAGTTACAGCAGTTAGCAAGTCGCCCGTAGAGCGAGAGGATCAAAAACCTTTTTGATTATCTGACAGCAGTTTATTTGACTCAAGATGAATATTGGAACCACAGATGCCATTTTCCAACAAGCAGGAAAACAAGACTCAGTCAAACACTTGTTAAATAGTTTAGAGAGAATTGAAGAAAGTTCTGGAGAACAATTCTGCAACACTGTGACAGGAATGTTGTCTGGACCACAAGCTGTAGACGAGTTTAATTGAGATATGACTTTAGCAACAGAAGCCGGAGTGACTTGAATGTCTAACAATGAGTCAACCTGTTTGACTGGAATGAAAGGAAGAGAATGTCCATAAGATTCAAGAGTGGAATTAGAAGAAAAGTTCTTTGCAAATAGTTCTGCCTTATCCTTGGGAGAGGTAATAAGATCAGTCCCATGAATGAGAGATGGAATGTTAGATCTACCCTTGTTAACAATGCTGTTGAAGATTTTCCAAAAGTCTTTAGAGCCTAACTTCTGCAATAAGATGCGAGATTTAGTGAACTGAGAATAATGGAGTTTAGCATCAGAAAGCACCTTTTTACATCGATTTCTTGCAATAATAAATAGCTGTTTGTTCTCAAGAGAGTTGTTCTTTTGAAAAAGATGAAAAAAATGATTATGATTGGATATAGCAGCCGCACAAGAAGGAGAAAACCATGGAGTAGAATGAGGCTTGACTTGAAACCGACGAGAAGGAATAAAAGCTTCCATTCCAGCCTGAATCCAGGAGGTTATGTAGGAGGCGCATTTGTCAGCTGAGAGAGAAAAAACATTAGCCCAAGGACCATCACGAAGAAAATCACAAAAGGAATCCCAGTCAGCTTTAGGGTAGTAGGTGGTGCGATGATAAGGTAGTAGGGTAGTAGGTGGTGCGATGATAAGGTGAGCCCAAAAAGGAAGTACGAGAAGAAAGATTTATAGAGATCATTGCATGGTCAGAACCACCTAAGGGAGAAAAGGGAGAAAATGAACATAAGCTAGGGTCAGAGACAAGACATAAGTCAATGAGTGAAAGTAAATGATTAGGGTTGTCAGGAAAATGAGTCACAAAGTTAACTATCTGAGTAAGAGATTGAGAAATGCAGAAGTTAAAGGCTTTAGTGCCAGCAGGATCAGTGGTGTTAGAGCCAAGCCATTCAGTGTGATGGGCATTAAAATCACAAACAACAGCAATATTGGCAGAGGGGTAAAGAGTGAGGGCATGGTCAATTTGATCAGAGATAACATCTAAAAGAGTGCAATCATGGGAAGAAGGAGAACGATAAAGAACAAAGAGAAAGGTGATAGAGTGAAGAGGTGCTAGGCGAAAGCACATAAAAGAATGGTCAAAGGATTCAAACCTGATTTCATGACAAATAGGGGAATTAATGCGTATGTATACCACTAAACCTAGCATGTGACTATTGGAGTCTTTACGAATCAAAGGATATATGTCGGTTTATTTTGTAAAATTACTACAAAAAAACCAAAACGCTAAAATAAATAACGCCCATGGGATTTCAGTTATGGTGGCGCCTCTGATCTGTAACAATGCCTTAAACGTTTTTCTATTTGTATATCTTTGGTGAATTGAGGCAATATTTCATTATTCATTATGTATTTAAATGTATAAAAGCATGTCTAAAAAAGTTTCTGCATTGTTTAACAGCTTTTAAATATAGTTTTCTACTTCTTCTTTAACTTCATCATCTTCTTATTATTATTATTGTTAAAATTTTATTGTTATTAATATTATTTTTTGATGAAAAAAGTTATGTAGTTTTTTATTCATATATACGTTGAATAAGGATACTTTTAAACTGGCATAATATTATAGTAATATAAAAGATGGAGGAGAACATGCTCCCTCCCTCCTTGTTAACATCTCTTTGTAAATTTCAGATTTTTTCCGGATATTACAAAAAAATTTTCCGGATTTTTTCCGGATATTTGAGGAAAAAAAATTTCCGGATTTTTAAAATATGGCCAGGATAATCCATGTGTAAAAAATCAGTCCATTTTTTTTTTTTTTAATTGATCCATAAAAGTGAAAAAATCATGGAAGCAACTAACTTTTATTGAAAATTTAATTTTTTCAGTAAAAGTTGTTTCTTAATATAGTTGGGGTAATGGTGAGTGGTAGAGCGCTTGCTTCATAAGCGAGAAATTTCGATTTCGATCCCCACAACATCCCTTGTAGTACCGCACTCAACTTGTTTCTCAAAACAGCATTACATATCATACAGTTATATAAAAACAACAAGGTATATTGATACTATTTAGCAAAGAGTTCTTTCCGCCAAGTTATTCAATGATCAATAAAGTCACCTTAACAGTATTTGGCTGATGGAGAATGTTGAGAATGAGAAGTGCGAGAGAAAGAAAATAAAAAATAAAGAAAAATTGAGTGATGTGGTACTAAAAAAAAGTGACAGCCAGAAATAAATGTTTCACAGGGGCTAAAAGGTTTTTCTATGTGTTTTTTTTTTTGTATAGATAAAAACCTAGAGATCCCTTGTTAGACATCCAAGTCACTCATGTTTTCGTTGCTAAACTTATATCTTTCTTGAGCTCTTCTACAGCTTGTTGAACTGACAATATTCCTGTCATAGTCGTACAAAGCAATCTCTGAACTGTTTAACTCAATTAATATAACCGCTGCTCAGCGCAGCGGTTATATTAATCCAAACCAAAACTCAGTTGTTTTTTCTATTCTACATTGATAAAATGAACACTCTTACTGAGTCCTCTACTATACCTCTTACCGGATTATCTTTCACTATTGACCTCTTATGGAAACCATATATCCATTCCATTTCAAAGTTAGCATCTGCAAAGGTTGCCATGTAGTCTTTATCATCATTGTGAGGTGGTATCTCTTTTTTTTATTCTACAAATACTACAATGATAACTGAGTAAAAATAACAATGATAACAATGATATATCTTTTACTGTAAAAGTTCCTTCTTGCTCGTGAAATCCTGATTTGTCTAGTTTTTTTCCTCGAACATCAATGCTTTAAAATTCTCTCACCTCTCCAAGTTTTCATTATATTGATTCATACATTTTTTATTCTGAGGTTTTCATATTCCTTAATTCTTTTTATTTTACTTTCTTGCAACTCCAAATTTTCTTTTCGCCTTGTTAACGCAAATTAATTTATTATATTAAAAAAAATAGTTATTCAAATAAAATAAAAAAACAAGTTAATATTACTTTTATATTATTAATATCAGAACAATTTTTTGTATTAAAAAAAAAATATTTTGTACAGCAATTGTTGTACTTTAAATTAGTCTTTAAAATATTTTAAGCTTTTTTCTGAACTTGTTATGGTTTCTTGTTTCAGTCGTTTGAATTATAATTATATAAAGATAATGCGGAAATTATTAATAGCTGTGGTTGGTTACTTTTTTTTACAATTTTAGTGTTAAATGATAATGCAACTAAAGCAACTCGTGAAGATGGTAAATATATTCCTCCTAGCATGATAAAAAGAATGCAAGAAAATCAAAAAAATCCTAGATTAAGAAATGGTGCTCCGCCAGATCTATCCAATCAAGCTCTTTTTCCTTCGCTTAGTGCCGCTAGCCAGACGTTAGTTGATGTCATTATTTAATTTATTGTTTTATTTTTGGTTTACAATTTTATTTTTAAATTGTTTTTTTTATATTGTAGATCTGAAAGAACTTCTAATGATTTTGAAGTAGTTAAGCGAGGGACTCGATCCAATGATGCTCATGTGGTTGACAATAGACCAGGTTTAGATTTAGGTAATAGATACGACGGTCTTAGAAGCTAATCATTTGAAATTATATGTTGGGCTAAAATAATTTAGCCGAAAGTAGTACAAGAATTGAACATCAGTAACAAATGAAGAAAATCACAATAGAAATTAATTTACGTATTACGGTTATCTTTTAAAACAGAATTTCGACAGCTTAATAGTTTAAGTAATTTTTATTCAGAAAGTTTGAAAATATGTAACATTTGTTATGGTTAAGATCAAATTTTACTAGGTTTAAATTTGTCCTAGTATTTTTTGTATATTTTTTTTTAATGCTTGACTTATTTGATATAGATATAAATAATAACACTATTTTGTGTGTATAAAGTCGTGAAACTGAAATCTTTTTTAATTGTTTTTGCTCGAAGTTCAAAAGTAGTTTTATTAAAGAAGTTTATATCGAGGAAGAAGATCTTTGCTTCATTTTCTATTATTATTATTATTATTGCAATTAGATTACATTTATTGCCGGTTCGTTTTGTTGTTGTTTTTTTTAAATATATTATCTTGTAATTTTTATTTCTTTATTAATATGATGCAGTTTTGAACTCGCATAGGTAATATAGACAGGTTAGTCACTTTTTATTTCTTACACATTTTGTTTGATCACCCTCTCCCCTTCCTCCCAAAAAAGGATAGTTTTTTTTTTATAACTTTATATATTTTTACAACTTATAAGCACGTGTTTTTTTAATAACTTTTTACTTAAAAGATTTTGTAGGGTAGAGGGGGGCATAACGTGCCTGAAGTCTTATATCTGCATAATAAGCGTGAAGTCATCTCAGCTAAAAATTATTTTTTATTTAATTTTTTTTTATGAAACATTTTAATTGTGTTTCATTATTGTAAAAAAAAATTTAATTTTAGAAATAATAAATGCATTAAAAGTACCAAAATTCATCAGTAAGGTTGCGAAAAACAAAAATATTTTCTCAAACGATACAACGACAAAAGTTTTACCCTGAGCTATTGCAAATTTGCTTTATTTATAAAAAGTTTATATTTTTCAGACAGTACTTTTTATCTTCTTTTAGAATCAGGTTTTAAAAAAAATATTTGGAATTGGACTTTTTAAATAGTATTAATTTCAGTAAAATGACTTTGGTGGGGACAACAAGTTATTTAGAAAATTGAGTATATTACTACCATTTCGTGATGCTGTTTACAGTTTGATGATTTTATTTTTAAACTAAAATATCTTTTTTTTATTTAGAAAATCAGTTTTTGCAATAAATTTTTAAAAATTCTTATTTTTATAAACTTAACTTCAATTATTAGTAGTGTTTAATGTAAGAAAGTAAGAAATTATATAAGAAAGATCAATCATCCAAAACGGGATAAAAAACAGTTTTAGTTGTGAGTAAAAAAGATTAGAAAAGATTTTTTTGTTTAATTTAAAATTTAGTAGCAGTTACCAATTTAATAATATAGGTCAGAGTAAAGCGGAGGTATTTTATAGAAATTTTGAGTAGCACTTCTTCACTATTTTTTCACAATTTACTTATTCCCAATTTATTTATTCACAATTCACTATTTTTCAGTTTAAACTCTTAAAATCTTATTAAATGTTCATGAATGATTTCAGCCGTTTTTCAAGATTTAACAAGTTTTTCAAGGAGGCATCCAATCAGGCCTCCAATCATCCGCAAAATCTTTTGGGTCTTGAAATTTTTTTTATCACTATTGTTGAATAATTAATACATTTTTGTTATATACTTTAAAAAATTATTCAATTTTTATTAATAAGTTCGGAAGTATTATCAATAATTTTAAAAAAATATACCACCCAGTTTTCCGGTGCAACTGAACCCAACCAGGGGAAATGCTTTGATTAGTCGTGGTTTTTTCCGCTTAGTAAACGTTTTCTTAATTGTTTTTTGCAGATTCGAAGGTCGCATTTTTTATTTAACATAAAAAAGTAATTTTTATACTAAGTAAAGGCAACGAGCTGTATTAGGTAGTATTTATTTAGTTGTAATAATGAGTGCCGAGACTTCCGCGATGGCGGATACTTTTCTATAACGATTTTATAAATAAATGAAAAAGAAAAAAACATAAAGAAAAAAGAATAAAATAAAAATAAAGAGAGTGAAGAAATGAAAAAGCAAAAAACAAAATATTGAAAACCAAATTAACAAAAGCAAAAAAAAAAAAATATTAAAAGAAACGAGAAAAGAAAAATAAAGACAAAAAAGTTAAAAGTAAAAAAATTCGAAAATAAAAAGAATTTAAATTAAGTAATTTAAATTCTTAAACTGGTCTTTTTTGACCAAGCCAAAAAGAATAATTTTTAAATTTTATTAGTTTTGTTTTTTGTTGTTGATATTTTTTGTTTTTTTGTGTATTTTTTATTGGGCATTGTAGTGTTTTTATTGGGCATTATAGTTCATATTGTTTTATGTTTTAGTTCTTTGTTTGCATCGGTATGTATTTTTTTTTTAGTTTTATGTTAGTTTGACATTTTTTAAAATGTATATATTTTTAAAGCTTTGTATGTATCTATAATATAGATACATATACACATATTATGTGTATGTATACATATGTATGTATGCACGCGTGTGTATTTATGTGCAAATATGCAGTGGGGGATTAAGACTTCTTGGGGCCCGGGGTTATTTTTGTTTTTAAAGGCAGAGCCGGATTCAGGGGTGGGCATTGTGGGCATTTGCCTAGGGTCCTCTACAATTAGGGGCCTCTGTATGAAATCGTCATAGAATTTTTATGTATGTTTTTTGTGGTTCGTGGAGTTAAAGTACGTATCAATGACAATAAAGTAATGTAATTATAGTAAAGTAACAGCACCTAAAATTATATACCAACCATACAAATTTTTTTGGCACATACCATGATAAACTGTATAACAAAAGTAATATATTTATCCAAATAAAATAATCTATGAGAATCTATGAAAATATTTTGTTTAAATAAATCATCTTTTGTTTATATTCAACTTATATATTATATTCAAAGTTTGAATATAATATATATAAATATGTGAAGTTGAAACTAGTTGTTTGAATTTCAACATTGAGAACTTTTCAACATTTAAATGTTAAGTATAATCTTCAGATTATAGTTTAAAACTCATCTTTTTATAATTTTTAATTCATATTCAGTTTTAATATCACATTGAGTTCTTGACTTGCATTCAAGGCAAAGTTTCTATGCTATTATCTATCACCAATCACTATGTTTTAACAATAATGTAAACTTATTTATTAATAACACAAAAATTTTTTATTAAACATTCAGATGCAACATTCCTATTTTATAACGTTTTTTTATAATGTAATGTATTTTTTAGAATAAATAATAAATAAATAAGCTTTTGGTTTTTGTAATATTTATTTTAATTTATATTTAGATAAACTTAATGGACACTGACAGATACAAAGGTCCACAACATTTTCAAAGTGTTGCTGCAAAAAGGAAAGCATCAAAGGATTGTTCTGAACGAGAGGCTCGAGAATTTAGCAAAACACCTCAAATTACTAAATTCTTAATTGGTCAATCAACTACAGAAAATGAGACACCAGCTTCATCATGCAGTATGTCTATTGCTTACCAAAATCCCGAGGACAGCCAGAATGTTGAGAAAACAAAAATTGCTTTAGAGCAAGAATTGCCTGAATGTCAAGGCAGTCAAGTGAATATACAAGCTGATGACATCAGCAGGTGGCCAGAAAAAATCACAGCAGAATTCATCAATTACTGGGCTGGAAGAGGCCCTATGGATCTCTACCAGAGTGATTTCAAGTCTTTGAATGATAAATCAGCAATCCAGAAAGTTGCAAACAGCGTCAATCGGAAATGTACACCAACAATGTTTCAGCAATCGAATCGCAATGGAGTTGTAAAACTTTCTTGTCTTTGCTTTTCTCCGGCAAATGGTCGAGTTTACTGTTGTTGTTTTTTTGTAAGTTAATGGGTACTGTGAGATCCCAATTTACACATGATGGTTTCTGTGATTGGAAACATACTACGGATCGACTATTTTCACATGAGCAATCCAAAGATCATATTGAAGCTGTTTGGAAAATAGCATGTGTGCTAAAAAAGCTGGACGTATAGATTCTGAACTTGCCCATAAAATGGATCGACATAAATACTATTGGCGTAGTCTGCTTAAACGAATAATCAGTGTGCTTAAGTTTGTATGTGAACAAGACCTCGCTCTTCGCGGAGATAATGAAAAGATTGGATTGCCTAACAATAGCAATTATTTAGGGTTACTGGAACTTTTGGCAGAATACGATGATTTCATAGGATAACACATAAAAAATCTCTAGTCGTGGTTCTAGTCATACAAACTATTTGTCATCTACTGTCTGTGAAGAACTTGTTAGACTAATGGGCAATTGAATTTTAAACAAAATCATTTCACGCTAAAAATTGTCGAAATATTATTCAGTGTCTCTTGATTCTACTGCTGATAAAGGTCATTTTGATTAACTAACTCTATTATTCAGATATATGGAAAATAATAGACCAGTTGAAAGATTCTTGAAACTTCTGCCGAATCAAGGACACAAAGCGGAAGAATGTTTCGTGGATTAATGAATTTACTTGAAGACCATGACATTGACATTCAGAATTGTCGTGTTCAATCTTACAATAACGCTTCAGCTATGAGTGGGAGATACAATGGCTTTCAAGCTAAAGTGTCAGCTGTAAATCATCACGCAACTTGGATACCCTGTGCTGGACATTCACTAAATCTGGTTGGAGTAGCAGTGAGCGAATGCTGCGCTTCAGCAGTAGCATTTTTTGACTTTCTTGAGGCACTATATGTGTTCTTCACAGCTTCCACAAATCGTTATGCACTTCTCACAGACTCTCTAAAAAGTGTGGAATCTGGTTGGGTGCATGTACCGAAAGAGGTGTCTACAACACGATGGTTCTGCCAATCCGATGCAGTAAAAGGTCTCATCGTTAGATATCATCCTATCCGCAATACACTTCAGAGTATATCGGAGAATGAAAATGAAACACCTAAAGCAGATTCCGAGGCAAATGGTCTTCATGGCAAGATGTGCAAACTAGAAACTGATATCTATGCTGCATTTTTTTAAGTTGATTAAGGTGCCCCAAGAAGTCCTTACGGTCTTATCACAGAGCACCGCGGAAGAGCATTTAATAGGAAGTTCACGCCTCCTTCCCAACCGATGTCGCAAAACTTGCCCAGAGGTGGGTTTGAACCACGGATCTTACGTTTCTGAGGCAAGTGCGCTACCACTGCGCCACGGCTGCTTTGCACTGCGCCACGGCTGCTTTCTTGCTCGAAGTAATGCTACAAGTCATATACTACAAGATCCCAAACTCAATCTGAACACAGCCATAGCAGCACTGAAGTCTCTGCAGTATTTTGTGAGTGAAAACTGGATTCACTGGAGTGCAATGAGATAGAAGCACCTTAAAAAAAAATTGGTTGATGAATATAAGGATGATTTAGATCCAGCACTTAGTGGTGAGCTTGTACAGTTTACAGCTTTCTTCACTGAATTTCTTCTTGAAAAAGATGATAACATTGGGAGGAAACATTTTCTTTACAAACTATT